CTACGCGTAACAACGTCGTTATTTTAAACGTTTCTCTGACTGGGTATATTTGATTTGTACGTTCGAAGAATTCATACTTATTTAGACAAACAATGAAAACACAACATCGTCAAGAGTTGAAAAAGAAATTTCTTTTGAAGAAAATGTAAGTTTGTAGATATGAACATCATGAAATTCATCTTTCTCTGAAAAGTTCTGGTCTTTTACGTTTAGAAGTGTCGTTTTTTTCAACACTTCTCTGAACACGAGTTAGCTATTAATAACTGAGCTTTTACTAATTCACTATTTTAGATCAACTATTATAATTACACTTTATTTCTTGAAAGAAATGCTCCGTTTTACCAACATCGATCATAAACCGACACGACTTCCACCTGTTTATGGTTATCGCACTCATCCATTACTTCCACTTCGACAAGCTCTTGATCCTGTTCTACCACACATTAATCAGCTAGATGAATTCATTCGAGTTGCAGAGACAGAATGTCACTTTCCCTCAGAACATGGTCTAACTCGTGAAGAATCAGCAGCTATTTATATATATACAATGGATTGGGGCGAACAAAGCCTTTACCGAGTACTTAATGGACTACTTCGAATTAATGATCGAACTGTTTTAGTGCCATGGCATGGTTATATGAAATTATTTGACAATGCATTGAAGAAACTGCCAAGCAATCATATGAATGTATGGCGTGGAGTAAATGTGGATATCAGTAAAAACTTCAAAGAAGGTGAAGAACTAACTTGGTGGAATATTACTTCAAGTTCCAGTTCAGTAAAAGTAGTGAAACAATTTCTTGGCCAATCTTCTACATTATTTCTCATCGAAGCTAAGAATGGAAAACTTATAGCAACGTATAGTAATTTTCCAGCAGAAAATGAAGTGATTCTAGGTCTTGGTACTCGAGTTCGTGTTGTGAGTGATGCACTCGATTCTTCATCATTAAATGTTGTACATTTGATGGAATTATTGGATCATAATGATGAGGAACTTTCATTGACGCTATCAAACATGAATATTAATACATCGACAAATACTCAAACCGGTAAAATAGCTTTTATGTGAAATATCTAATTGTTCACCATTGTTTCTTTCAATCTTATATAGATATCTCAAAGAATGTTGAAGATTCAACATTCAAAGTGCATACCTATGAAAACGGTAGTAGATATGACACGTTGATTCAAATATGACATATAAGAAAATTTCGCTATTTATTGGTAAAAAAATTGATGTAAATTGTTCGCATTATAAAAGAATAAACACTAAGGTGAATGGAAAAACCAGAAACGACATGGAAAAGGCACATTCTACTATACCAATGGGAATACGTATACGGGTGATTGGGTCGATGAAAACAGGACAGGCCAGGGTGTTT